GGGGAAGGGGGGGAGAGAGAGAGAGAGAGGGAGGAGGGAGAGGGTTGGGGAGAGGAGAGGGAGAGAAGGCCTCACCTTCCTCTTTATCCCACTGCCCCACTCCCTCTCTCATTCTGCTTTTCTTAGAGTGTTGGCCCATTCTCTCTTGTCACAGAAGCAGCCCCAGTGAAACCAGCTCCACCTGTGATCCTAGGAAGAGAAAGCATCTTCTCTGGGAGCTCTGGCAGTAATGCTCTGGGGAATACTCTTGGTCATGGGGACTGGGGGCTGTGAGAGGACTTTGTGAACTATATGGAATGTAGCTGTTGGGGTGACAACATGCCCGTACTTCATCTTGATAAGACATGTCATTTGATAGTTGAAAGCTATAATTATTTAAAGATAATGCACAATATATTTTAATAGCTTTATCAAGATACAGTTCACATACCATAGGACTCACTCATTTAAAGTATACAGTTCAATGGTTTGAATATATTCACAGTTGTACAGCTATCACCACTGTCTAATCTGTAACACTTTCATCACAAAAAGAAACCTTGCACCCATTCACAGTCACTCCCTATTTTTCCCAAATCTCTTAGCCTTAAGCAACCACTCATCTACTTTCTGTCTCTACAGATTTGCCTATTCTAGACATTTTATGTAAGTGCAATCAGACGACTTGTGGTCTTTTGTGTCTGACTTCTTTCATTAGCATGTTTTCAAGGTTTATCTATCTTTGTATATCATCATGCATTTTTTATTAATTCCCAAATATTATCCTGTTATATGGATATGCCACATTTTGTATTTCTGTCTGTTGTTGATGGACATTTGGGTTGTTTTCATGTTTTTGCAATTATGAATAATGCTACTGTGTGTCTGGTAGAGGACTTTTGGCCCCGTTCCCCAGCCATGTGGAAAGGGCCTAATTCCCAATAAGGAAGGCCCTTCCTCCCCCACAGGGAGGGTCCCTTATCTCACTCTATCCTGGCCCGGCCCAAGACCAGCAACCTTCCCACCCAGCGCCCCACTGAACCAATCACCATCCGCCCCACCAGCTCTCCCGTAACCTCCCGTCCCACAGGCTCCCACCCGGCAGGCTTCCTGCCCAGCAACCAACCTAGCCAATTATTACCCGCCAGGTCAGCTCTCCTACTGCCCCAGGCCCTCTGTCCCTATAAAGTCGACCGAACAAAGCGCGCGCGATTTCTCCCTTCCCGCTTGAGTCGCCCGGAGATCCCAATAAAGTCGGTACCGGTCACCATGCGTCCTGCCTCGAGTCTGTTGAGCGCCTGCCTCCGTGGGTCGGGGTCCCACAGCCGGGGTCGCACAAGTGGTGCCGAAACCCGGGAGCGCGGGCTGCCGGCCCGGCCACAGCCCCCTCCTCCAGCGACCCTTTTTTGGGTCCGACACCTCTACGCTCCAACTAAGGTAAGTTCATTTTTTTCTCTTGCCTTTCCTTCCACGTGGTGTGCACAGTAGTCCCTCCCAATTCTCCGGACCCCCCCGCCTAGCGTCGGCCGACCCGAGGAAGGTCCTCCGTTCCGGCTCCAGGAGCCCCTCCGGGAACTGCCAGACAGGGGACGCCCTCTCTGACTCTTCCCTCTGTTAATTCTCTGGGTATCTGCAGTGCAAGGGGGACGCCTCTTCCTGCATCTACCCAGCCGTTGGCAGGGAACCACTGCTGCGCACGCCATGGGGAACGCGGAGTCCAAAATACCCTTAACACCCCTCTTGGGTGTTTATTGCGAAACTTCTCCAAATTGGGATACTCGCAAACCCTAAGGCGAAGGAAAGTCATTTTCTTGTCTCAAGCGGCATGGCCCCAGTATCAGCTCGATAACCAGTCACATTGGCCCCCGACTGGCACATTCGATTCCAATATCCTTCGTGACCTTGACAATTTCTGCCGCCGTACAGGCAAAGATCGCGAGGTGCCTTATGTACAGGCTTTTTGGGATCTCCGTACCCACCCGGACCTTTGTTCCACTTGCTCTACGCATCAGGTTCTTTTAGCCCAGGTCCCTTGCAAAACCTCCTCCGCTATCTCTATTCTCCCCCGCCTTACTCAATGCAGGAGGATCTGCCTGAACATCTGTCTCCTCCCGCCAACCCTAGCAACTAGTTACCACCAGCCGTTAGCCCTTCCCCCGCTCCCTCCGCACTTCCTGCCTCAGAGGCCTCACCTCGCCCTTCCCCCGCTCCCTCTGCACTTCCTGCCTCAGAGCCCTCGCCTCGCCCTTCCCCCACTCCCTCCGCGCCTCCTCCTTTGGAGACCGCACCCTGTCTTACCTCCCCGGTAGCAGCCCATACCCGCTCACATTAGCCCACCCTCCTGGCTCCGCTTCGAGAGGTGGCCGGGGCGGAAGGTTTAGTTAGGGTACACGTCCCTTTCTCCCTCCAAGATCTAGCACAAATAGAAAAGTGCTTAGAGTCCTTTTCCGCCGATTCGTCTACATACATAAAAGAGTTTAAGTACCTCACTCAAACTTATGACCTCACCTGGCATGACATTAGGGTCATCTGCACCTCCACCCTAACGGCCGAAGAACACGAGCGTATTCTGGCTGCTGCCTGGCACCAGACAAAGATCATGCCATAGACAATCAAATTCCTTTAGGCTCTGAGGTTGTCCCCAGTGAGGACCTGCAGTGGGATTATCAGGCAGGTCGGGGCTCTGATATACCCAGGCGGGACCGCTTGATACGGTATCTCCTTCGAGGAATGGATGCCGTATCAAACAAGGTAGTCAATTATGATAAATTAAGAGAGGTCACCCAACTCCCAGATGAAAATCCCACTCTTTTCCTAGGCCGCCTACAAGAAGCTCTAGTCCGATACACTTGGCTAGACCCTACATCCCAGAATGGGGCCACTGTCCTAGCTTCTCATTTCATTTCCCAATCTGCCCCTGATATCCGAAGAAAACTAAAGAAGGCGGAGGAGGGCCCCGAGACTCCCATCCAAAACCTGGTAAAAATGGCCTTTAAAGTCTTCAATGCCCGAGAGGATACGGCRGAAGCTGCACGCCAGGCCCGCCTAAAGCAGAAAGTGACACTTCAAACCCAGGCCCTAGCGGCGGCCCTGCGGCCTGCGGGGCCCCAAAGGCTCAAATCTGAATCCCGCGCCCCCCCCGGGGGCCTGCTATAAGTGCGGGAAGGAGGGTCACTGGTCTAGGGCCTGCCCCCAGCCACGGGCCCCAACGAAGCCTTGCCCTATTTGCCATCTTGAGGGACACTGGAAATCGGACTGTCCTAACTTCCCCAGGGTACCGGTTCCTCAAAACCAGCACACCGGGCGGAAGCAGTCGACGCCCGTCCCCGGATGGGAGATGCCTGTAAGTCAGGAGTCCACCTCTGGGGAGTCTCCACTTCCCAATTTAATGGGCCTGTTGGACAATTAGTGGGGCCCTGGCTCTTTGACCCCAGTTACCCTCGCTGAGCCTAGGGTCACTCTACAGGTAGCGGGTAAAAGTGTCTCTTTCTTGCTGGACACGGGGGCTACCTTTTCTGTCCTCTCTTCTTTTTCGGGCCCTATTATCCCTTCCCAGGTCTCAGTTGTGGGAGTTGACGGAACCCCCCAAGTCCCTAGCCAAACTCTGCCACTCACATGCTCTTATGCCTCTGTCCCGTTTACTCACTCCTTCCTGGTAATTCCAACCTGCCCAGTGCCCTTACTAGGACGGGACATTCTCTCCAAGCTAAATGCCACTATTACCCTCTCCCCGACTGCCCAGTGTAACCTCCTTCTTTTGGCACATGTCCCAGAGCACACACCCACAGCGGATTTGGCCACGCTACTCCCTGAAGTAAATCCCCAAGTCTGGAATATCAACAGCCCCACTGTGGCCGCCCACCATCGGCCTGTTAAAATTTTCCTCAAGAAATCCGCTCCCAGGTTTCTATCTCGTCCCCAATTCCCCATCTCCAAAGCCCACCGCCTCGGGCTCCATCCTGTAATTGAACGGCTCAAAAGCCGAGGCCTTTTAATCCCCACCAATTCCCCATGCAACACCCCCATCCTTCCTGTCCACAAACCCTCAGGACAATATAGGTTAGTTCAGGACCTGCGTCTCATTAATGAGGCAGTCATACCTATATACCCAGTCGTTCCAAACCCCTATACGCTACTCTCTCATGTCCCTTCAAACACCACGTGCTTCTCGGTTTTGGATCTTAAGAATGCTTTTTTTACCATTCCCCTCGACCCAAGCTCATACTTTATCTTTGCCTTCACTTGGGATGATCCCCTCACGGGTGTTTCCCAGCAGCTCACGTGGACAGTTCTCCCCCAGGGATTCAGGGACAGCCCTCACCTGTTTGGGCAAGCGCTGGCCTTGGACCTACTCAACTGTAACCTCACGCCCTCTTCTGTCCTCCAATATGTAGATGATTTACTGGTCTGCTCCCCTAGTCGCCCTGAATGTATACGGGCCACCACCATCCTTCTTAATTTCCTACATGACAAGGGGTACCGAGTGTCCCCTAACAAGGCCCAGGTAGCCTCATCTTCAGTCACCTACCTAGGCTTACAGCTCATGCCTGGGAAAAAATCCATCACGGTCGACCGGTTACAGGCTCTTAAGGCCCTCCAGGCCCCGCAGTCAGCTCAGGAAATACTTTCCTTCTTGGGACTGGTTGGGTTCTTCCGCCACTGGGTCCCTAATTATGCCGTCTTAGCCAAGCCCCTATATCAGGCCGCAACAGACACCCCTATGGGACCGCTCTCTTCCCAGGGCACGGTCGACCAGGCCTTCCGGGTACTCCTTAAGGTTCTATGCACATCCACCAGCCTGGCCTTGCCTAACCCCAACCTGCCCTTTCATCTGTACACAGATGAGAGATCTCATACCGCAATAGGGGTCCTAGCACAACCAGTAGGAGACACTCTTCTACCTCTAGCCTACCTGTCCAAACAACTAGACCCCACGGAGAGGGGGTGGCAGCCTTGTCTCCGTGCCTTAGCCGCAGCGGCTACCCTCACCACTGAGGCCCTTAAAATTAATTTGCAGCTTCCACTTC